GCAAGAGGGAGAGCAGATCCAGAAGACAGTGAGGTGCAATTTGTGATTAGGCATACTAGTCGTTCAAAGTCTGCTGAACCAGCAGCTGAGCGACACAGGGTAGCCAACATCCGAGGCACCTCGGGCATTCATTCAGCGGGTGATAGACTGCATTCATGACAGTCTTTTCATCGAGCACCTGAACGAGATTTCACTCGAAAGCGAACTCGATCGGGGAGTTTCACCAGTGTCAGGATTCCATCGCAGGCAACGGGGATGAGCGACCAGTCCAACGGCATAGCAATATGTCAGGGTGAAGTATTGGAAATGTTTGACAGAACAAAACGTTGATGTGCGTGGATCGGTAGAACCCATCAGTAAATTGATCTTGAGAGTCAAGGCAGCAGGCAATGTGGACAATTTGGGATTCGTAGATTCTAGTGAGGAAGAGCTCTCAGAACTGGATTCAGAGTTCGCGGATCTAGATTTAGAACTGGACAGCAATGCAAATATTGCACAGGAAATAGAATATAACATAGTTCCACAGCGCACAACGATTGATCCACCACTTGCCGAGTCTGAGGAAGGAGTTAGCTGTGGGAGATCAGAGCGAGCAGTGCATGTACTATAACTACATATATTGGTCCGACAGCAGGTGTATTTATGAATCATGGTATATACACTTGTCACACTAATACAGCGTTGAAAAATGAATATCCAACACCTGCATCTATGTATAGTCTTGTACTTCAATGAAATAATAGAGTATCTCATATTGAAATATACAGACATCTACGCAGAAATTCTCAAAGATAACTGGACCCCTATAGTACCCAGCAAGTACAAGCGTTTCCTTGCGATGATGATCACTGTAGTGAAGTGTGAGACAAACGCTGCTATATTATGGAATAAGCAAGACAGCGTGTAGTGCTTACGAGCAACGCAAGACATATTTCCAAACGCCGAACGATTCTGGGATATTCACCGAAGTTTGAAAACCTGCGACAATGATGATGGTCCAAAAAAAGATGATGAGGGCTACTGCGCGGAATGGGAAGTGTTGGAGATATATGATATCATCAACAAAGCCTTCCAAAATTTCTGCACTCCTGGTCAGGCGCTGTCGACGGATGAATCGAGTGTTCAGGCAGAACATCGTATTTCAGACATCATTGAAACACAAGCCAGGTAGGGGCAAGTTTGGATATATGTTATATGGACTTTGCGATGCGGATTCAGAATATCTATTGTCCTCCATCATAGCTTCCAGTTCAACACACATTGATCCGCAATTTTTTCACCTATTGAAAATGAAGGCTATAGTGTTACAGATAACGAAACCATACTTCGGTAGAAATCATATATGTGTGTGTGGCCAGCATTATTCCGGCCCGCAATTGTGTTTGATGGCTATTCGTGAATATTGATTACATTTTATTGAACCGAAAGTGAATGCCGCATATAAGCTACTACAACTTTAAAAAGATGTTGAAGCACGCGTCAGCTCACATATATAGCCCACTGGGTCTGTAACTCGATATCTCTAAGGTATTTGCCACGGTATCATCCTTTCAAGCTAATAGTGATGATTCGAGATTTACAGTGCAACGATGGGTTGCAGGAGCTTACAAGCCAATCTATCGGCCGGCAAATATAGGTTACTACAATGGACATCTCGATGGTGTCGATAATTTTGACAAGCGGAAGGGTTATTAAGATGCTGGTTTCAAACAGAGTCACAGGAATTGGCTGCCATTATTCTGGCATCTCATCGATTGGATGATTGAGAACTCACGCTTACTATATAATATGATACACACCTAAAACATGACAAACATGGAATTCCGAGAATCTTTGGTATAATCTTTAGGTCGTGATATACTGGAACAATGTTCAAATATAGTAGCTTTCGAAGATGGGCATAGGTTGAATAGCTGCTACCAGAAGAAGTGGAATACAAAAATGAATTGCGAAGAGACCGTGCGTGGTCGTTGCTATGTGAGCTATCACAAATATCAGAAGGAGACCAAGCATACAAGGATGTTTTAATGAACATCATGCAGACGCGACAAGGATCAGATTTAAACGAAAACGACGCTCAGATCGACTGCTGTGAACCCATATCATGTTGCATTCATCATGTTTCATTTATAAAGCGCTTGGTTATGGTAATTACAAGGCTCGTAAGAAGCATGCATTATGCACGTACACGTAAAATTGGCAGCTTAGCGTGCAATAAAACTTATAAATCTGATGGGTCGAATAAAAAAATTCGACCCGAGCAGTGTCGGCCGCGTAAGGCGCCCGTATATATCGACCCTACCTACCATTGTTGCGAATGGACCGAATGCGGGTTTGGACACGGGCTCGAGCGTTAAAAATTTTATAGTGACGAGTCACGAGTGTCGTATGTATTTATCGACAAAGTCGTTTGCAATTTAAAAAAAAATACATTGTACTTTGACAGAAAACAGATAAACAATTGTTTTATATATATATTTGTTTGTTTTCAAAAAGATTTTTTTTAAATATATAATTTGTTTTAAAACAAATAAAACATGGCTAGGGTTTAGGGTTTTTAGTTTCTTCAAAGAGGGTCGCTAAGAACTCACGCTTTCTCCCTCATTTTCACTCAACACACACACCCAGTTCAATCACACACGGGACGGACCCACAAAAGTATGCTCTACTTTTTGAAACAAAATTACATTTAGGATCCCTCGGGGGTCTCTTTGGGGCCTTTGAAAATAGAATCCATTTAGCCTCGGGGGCCGAAGGCCTCCAAATGGGGAAAAAGCGTTCCAGACCGATTTCAAGTTCAATAAAAGATAGGGACTCTACAGCTACGCTTTCGGTGATAGAAACAAAATATATACATACGGCCATTTATTACTAAAAACTTTAGCTATTAGGTCCCTCAGAACTTTATTTATCCAAATAAGGAATAAAGTAGAGATCTTTATGCCCATTTGAGACCCTTTACATGAATACAGAAAGGCCCCTTTCAAGAAACACGATGTGATACCAGCAGTAGAAGTAATACGGTTTTTTTGGGGCTTCCCCCCCCCCCCTTAAATTTTAAATCTGGACCGAAACGTGAACCAAAATTTAAGTTGCATTTTTAAAACCATTGGGCGCGCAGGGTTTAGATTCCCAAAAGAAACAAGGGACAAGGGTACGACAACCCAAAATTCAAAATTAACGTAAAAGAAAACGACAGTCGAACCCCCCCACTCCCCCACAACAACAAAAAAGAAATTGGAAATCTGGACCGAAACGTGAACCAAAATTGAAGTTGCAGTTTAACCTAAATGGGGCGTGCTGTCGCAAAACAAAAGGGAACGAAAACCCAAAAATAAAAAATATATTATTTCCTCCTCATTTCAGAGCTTTTAATTTTCCACCGACGTCAGCGGTGTTCTATTTGTTTAGACCTTTCTGCCTTAGGATGTATAGTTGTACAGCGTACAGTGTACAATGAGACACAGTACAATAATTTTGACAATAGAAAAACATAAATATTTACAGAGAGGACAGGTCTGTAAATACTCTCTCTGACTCTCTCTCTCAGCGCAGTGTATTTCAACTTTTTTTTTAGACTCTACAATCTTTGTTTAAAAAAAATTCAGACTTACCGGTTACTGGCAACTGATTATTGAATATGCACTACGTCCTACGCCCTACGCCCTACGCCCTACTGTGACTACTGACTAGTGACAACTTTTAAAATTTTAAAGTCTATTTTTAAATACACTCTACAATCTACAGAGTTCAACAGGAGGCCTATTACTTAAGTGGTTAAAAATATAGAGAGTTTTATTTGTTTCAAAATAATACACTTATCGACCATTGGATATGTTAATTACGTTGTACGAATCTACGATGACGGTATTAACGGGTATTTAAATGTATACCCTTTTTTAAACATATGGGTTTTAAATTTTATTTCTATTGGATTACATTTTTAAAAATCGAATCGCATCTCGCTAAAATTAGCTCGTTGTGAAAGTGGCCTGCACCGAGTTTGCAAATTGCGCCCCGCGTAGCGGCGTAGAGTGGCGTAGAGTGGCCTGGAGTCGTAGACTCGTAGACCGTATAAATCACCGTAGGAAACTGGGCCTGAGGTGGTTAATAATTTTATTGTCACCAGGGCCGTATAAAGACATTCGTTAGAGCCTTAAAGGTAGTCATGAGAGCATTGCGAACTGGTCACACTGACTGTCTGACTCGCTCTCTGGTCTGGTGGATATTTTTTTATCACTGAAAGCGTAAGCTGGAAGTCTCAGTCTGTCTGTCACCTTTACTTATGCTCGGTCACGTAACGCTAATTAAGCCATTTATTTGGCTTGCTATGTCACGAGGGATCCTAAATGGAATTTGTTTTTTTTATTAAAACAAAAGCACTTTTGTCATTTTTTCTTTCTTTCTTTTTTTTGTAATGTTTTTTTGAAAAACAAAAAGCATTAATAATATTAATATTAAAAAGAGCATACTTTTGGGTATATATTTTTTGAGATTTGAACTAACAGGCGAGGTCACCGAGGTGTGTGACTGTGTGTGAATGATTACGTGTGAGGGTGAAAGACTGTGAGTGGGTATGAGTGAGTGAGAGCGTGTGCCTGTGGCCCTGTGTGAGTGTCTGGGTGAGTGTGATTTTGTTTGAGCGTGTGTGACCGCAACAGTGCGTATTTGTGAGTGTGTGACTGTGAATGTGTGTTGACTGTTGCATGAAAGTGAGGAAGAAGGGGGGCGCGGGGGCCGGGGGTTGGGTGGCTGGGTTCCTCAAGAAATTATCACACCCTTATCAGGCCTCAGCTCCTCCGCACCGCGCGTACATAATCAACTACTCTCTGATTAAACGCTTTCAGTCCCCGCGGCGCCCCAGCCGTGTTTTAATGTTTTATCATAGCCGTCTAAATTACACAGTTTTATTTATTTTTTATATTGTTGTTGCTGTTGTTGTTGTTTGTTTAATAAACCCCCCCCCCCCCCCCCAACAATACAAAACAAAAAATATTCAAAATAAAAATAGTAATAAATATAAAAAAGTAAAGCAGTGCAAACTGCAGACCGCAGGGCGCAGAGTCGCAGACGCCAGACTGAAGAGTGACTGCAGACTGCAGACAGTGCAGAGTGCCGAGTTCAGACAACTAAAAAAATTAATAAAACATGGCTGACAGACGCCTGGCGGACGTTGTATTTATTTATAATATAGATCTGTAAAACAGGCTCGCCATACAACAAACTAAAAGTAATAAACGAACTATACTAGCGTCTAACTGTATACAGAAATCGCCATCTTATCGCCACAATGGGGATGAAAGTGTTGATCATGTCGCTCGTTCCATCCTTGACGATGCTGTTAGCTACATTCCTCGGTTTTCAGGTATGATGGTTGTCTCAGAAACCGTAAATACACCTTCATGTTATTTTAGTCTTACTTTTCAATCTATAGGTATCCATACTTTGGTGACGACAGGCCTGTATTACATCTGTCGGTTTATGTATACAATATTTACGATAGACGGTTTGTCGAAGTTGCATATTGCTGAGGTAGTGTTAGTTTGGTTATCGTTATTCGACAAGTAGAGTTTCATGTGATACTGTTGATATGGCATTTTAACGCACTCCCATATGTTTTGTTCGAAAAGGCTTACCGTAATACGTACAGTTCAATTGGCCGAATAAAGCCATAGAATATTTGTTTTGCTATCAAAAGTACTGATACGTTTTACTAAGAAACTTGTTAATATCAAATTCTACACCGCCATTAGACACACTTTTCTCGCGGCGCAATGGGAGCTTTACAGCATTTCGCGGCGGGTCTAGTGCTGGCAGCGGTGTCGACTGAACTGGTGCCTATTATGCTCAAGGCTGAAGGCGTGGTTCAGAACGTAGCCATATGCGTTGGGTTTATATTTGGTAAGTATCCATATCAACATTGCAAAAGTGCATATGGTTTGTATTTGGCATGTGGCCACATATCTGCTTTTGTTTCTTTAGCCGTAAATACATGCGATGGTGTTTTGAGCGTTGCCACGTGTACTGAACTTCTGTTTATATGCTGATAATGATATGTAGATTTTACTGTTCATGTTTGTGGGTCCATACTGTTGCAAGACTTTGTGCGCCACTTCAGTATAGAAGCTCATTGAGCAGCTACAGTTTCGTAGTCGTAGCGCATATATGATCTGTGCTCGGCCTATATCGTCTTGTGCTTCGGAATCCCCTCGCTAGTGTGCGCGAGTTTCTACTTCTTATCTCGAATTTCAAGTTACGTCACACCGTGCATATTATTTTTTCCTGTATTATATGTTGCCGTTTCTCTGCCGTGCGTGGTGAGATATGTGCTGTGTGATAGAGCCTTTGTCTGTCGCGCGTTTGGTTCTGAGTCCCTGGAATACACTGGTGTGTTCTGTGTTTTTATTAGAGAAGCTCATGTTCTTGGAGCTCAAAACTGTGTTGCAGGTCCTCGCGCGAATTTAAATCACAGCATCTGATGATATACACGCAAATATATAGTCTATACAAGTTAGATGTGAGGTTTTTGAGGTGTCAATAGCTTGCGATTTCCAAGTCGCTGATGCACGCTACATGTAGTGTAATGTTTGTGGTGTGATTGAGCGCTATCGTATGAAGTTTTACTTGTACCTGACTATCGCGGTGGCTAAGAATGCACCACTGTTGTGAGGCTGGATCGAATATCAAAGCGAAGTATGAATTTACTACGATTGTCCTCATTTCTTATCACAATCATAAACCGTGCATAAATGTATTAAATTCGATAGTGGTAGTACGCATGGTAAATGGAAGTATGGTTCATTTTGTACAACAAGCTCTCAGTGCTTCTATGAATTTTACCGATCAATTTGGTCTGACATGCTTTTTTATTTTTATACATACAGGTGTCATATCTCTCCTATTCATCGACAAGATAATGCCTGACGATGAAGAGGAGGAACCGAATGATGCATTCCGCGTAGAGAGTGTAGAAAATCTCTCAACTCACAGCGAGATCGTCTTGCCGCCCACAACACACCGGCGCTCACTCCTGGCGCGAAGCATGTCCCGACAGGGTCATACTCCGTAAGTCTGGTTTTATACACATTTGTGTATGTGTTTGTAGTCGTGTGGTGTGAGAGAGAGTATGTATTGCTAATGATTAGATGTGGGGACGAATACGAGATTGTGAAACGGCGGATATGCTATTGGACATGATATTGCGAATCGCATCAGGCCGCTCAAGAGCATCAGACAATTTATATATACATGTGTGTGTGTGTGTAGATATGTATATATATCTATTTACAGCACATATATATTTATATATATGCATCAACGCATATATACGCATACATATGTATACGCATATACATATATGCATATATATATATATATGTGCATATGTATATATGTGTATGTATAAATATGCATATATATATATATATATATATATATATATAATATAGTTGCCTATATATAGAGATATATATAGATAGATAGATGTATATATATATATATATATGTATATCCATATTTATATACATGCATATACGTATATATATATATATATACATAACGGTATGGACACTTATGGATTTTTTATGGCGTTGCCGAAGCTGTGGGCACCATATCTCTGCTGTCTGTGGTTGAAAGGGTGTACAAGTATTAATTTTTATAACCGATGTCAGCAAGTGTATGTCTGCATGAATGTATGTCGTAGGTATATATGATTTAATCAACGGCGTATAAATATTTATGACAATAAGTGGATGTCATAAAAAGATATCGATAGTAACTAAAAGTGTAAGAATATACATATTGAGATCATATGTATATGCATAGGAATATATATATATATATATATATGTGTGTGTGTGTGTGTTTATGTATACACATTTCCATATATTTGTACACGTGTTCATTTTGTTGAAAATATATAGACGTACGTACATGTTTTTTATTTTATGTAATATGTTCTTGTTTATGGTTTCTCTCTATTTACAGTAATATATATATATATATATATATTGATACATATATATTGATATACGTTTGTATGAATAGAATTTCGTAGAAATACATATCCATAGAAATACATATCCAAACTTAAATTATTTATATATTTATTAGTTTACACATGCATGCATTTGGAGTATACGAATATTTGTGGATTGGTTTTTATTTTACTTATTTTTAATATACCCGTCAGTGTATATGCTAAAATCTCCCATTTGTGTGTGTACAGATAATTGCGTGAACAGATAATTGTAAATATAATTTTGTATGGGTCAATACTGACAAATGTATCTGTATGTATGTTTTGGGCACAAAATTTATTGCATGTATACATGTGTTTGTCGATATATATATATATATATATGCGTAGACATTCGATATTTCTGTTTATTCACAAATGATACAAATGGTTTAATTTTAATTTTATGATATGTATATACGTATACACTGTGTGAGTGTGAGTGAGTGAGTGTCTATACAAATAGCTATGGTCGCATAGTCTTTGATTTAACCCTTCAGGGGAGTGAAGGGAAGCTTAACTGGTGTAAATTCGTGATCGGTGGCTGTGTGATGGTGAATGGTATATTCAATACGCTCTCCCACCACCTATCAGACGGTATCAAAGCATTTTGAGGTCGACAACTTTCGTCCCATAGTGTGAGGTGTGTGTATGTATTGAGATTTATTTCATAGGTTTCACACTATATCACATACCGATCCCCTGGTATAGGCTGATTGTATGTCCTAGGCGAAACTGCATTGTCGTCGTTGTATCCATACACTTTCATCTTACTGTCATACTATGCACCTAATTAGGTCACCGACGCCAAGGTTACTAACTCAAGTCGAGGTGATGCCTCAGCAAACAACTTCCAATCGTGACATTGTGGGTCAACCGGAACTCAAGGAAGACCAGCCTTTGCTAGAATCCGAGGAGAATGAGGGGAGGGGCGCATTTCCGTATAGTCTGGTGTACGCGGTCGCTGTGGATTCCATGTGTGATGGTGAGTGAAGCGAGCTCGTATCCATTTTTCTTCGCCTATGTTAGTGCTCTTAACTGTCCAAGGCCTTTGAGCGATTTTCTATTTTGGGTTGTTGTCCAACCAGTCGCCGTGACAGTCATGATACTCACTGTGACGTATCCATCCATCTCTAGGTCTACTCCTGGGTTTAGCGAGTGTGGTGAGTCTCTCTACTAGTGCGATGATGGCCATTTCACTGAGTGTGGAGATGGGCTTCCTGGGAATCACGCTCTCAAACGCGCTTCGAGGGCAACCCAAGGCTAAATCGCTATTGGCCGCCTGTGTAGGGCCGCTTGTCTTGTTCGTATTCGCGGTGGCCGGTTATTTTCTAGCTGGTATGAAGCCTTGACTTCATACATATGCGTATATTTCGTTCCTCATATGGTTGTATACTTATTTTGTAGTGAAAGCACTTAGAGTGTGCTGCAATACTGATGTGATATCCTGTTCGGTTATCTATTGCATCTTCGCCTGATGACTCTCTATCTCTGCAGTTTGTGATATATTCTCTGCGTGTGTGCTCAATGTTTCGCTCCCAGTCCTTCACATGTTAACGTAGACCGCATGCATGGTAGCTGTCCCAGTGCTAGCTAGTAAGATTTTGATACAATTATGTGAGTTTTAAGGCAAACGACACTTCATTGTGCTCATTTGATTCGTTTAGGTTGTTAATGTTATTGATTTGTCTTGTCATTCAGGTTTGATGCAAGAATACGAATGGGCTTTCAATGGAATGGTTTCATTTGGGGCAAGCGCTCTATTATTTATGGTAGCAGAGGAGTTGCTACTCGAGGCGCATGATGGCGCTGGAAGTGAGAATCATCTATGGTGGGTCGATTTACAATTATATTTTGGGTTCCTTGTGGCATTGTTGGCTAAAAAACTTCTGGGTGCCTAGTTGTTTGACGATACATCAGGAACCGTACTGAAGTATGTACTGCGAGAACATTGCCTTAACAATCAATGGCTTGGTAATTATCTATCTCTGCTTGGGCGATATATATCTGGATGAGCTCAACGAACGCGTCACTGTATAGTACTCAATATTAGAGATGTTGTTTGCAATGGAATATTCTGACATTGCAACCCGACTAACTCGTATTTGCGAGTGAATACACCGACTGAGATGCTAAATATCTCGTCTGCATATTACAATGGTTCCCTGAGCTATTTGGTTGCGCAAGGCATGGATGTCGAATTTAGAAAAGTATTCTGTGTACCAGGTACGACTACATGTGCGTTATTTTATCAAGCGTATATCCTGAAGATGGAGTAAATTGTCGGGCTGTAGTAGGCAGTCCAGGCAGCCAAAATATTAGATGAAAGTGGAAGATTTAGAACCTGGCTATGCGTGTCTTTCTCGCTGTGCTAACAGTCGATAGAGGGAATGACTTTGCCTTGTGGCCCCGGATACGTTTCACGTATCCTGTGAGGAACTATGCATACGTGTATCAAAATAAGCAGAGCTGGAATGGCAAATAAACTAGAAAGACTTCAAAAAAAAAGTCTCAGGTGGCATTAATATATATTGGCTGACAGACTTCTATGAATTTCAACTTGTCGACTGCCAAGCACCCAACCAAATGTACATCATATAGTCCTTCTTTTGCGACGCTTGTGCCGTGAAGTTGGGAGTATTTGTTCTATATATTACTGAAAGTGTAGCTGTAGACTGTGTAGAGTTCCTATTTCTTTTATTGGAGACCTAGATTATGTCTGGAGCTTTTTCCACATTTGTAGGGTCCCCACGAGGAAAAACATATTTTTCTTTCAGAAAAAGTTGGAGGGGAAATTCAATCTTCAATTTATTTGTTAGGATGTGTACCGTCTGTGTTGGTGGGTGGGTGAGATGCTGTGGTGTGTGTGTGTGTGTACACGTGTGCTGGTGTTGGAACGTGTACCGTCTGTGCTGGTGGGTGTGTGGATATATGTGTGTGCGAATTCTGATGCTAGGATGTGTACCGTATGTGTCGGTGGAGTGTGTGGAGTGCTGTGGTGTGTATGTGTGTTGTGGGTGTGTTTCCTGGTGTTAGGGCGTGCACCATCTGTGCTTGTGGGTGGGTTGGGTGTTGTAGTGTGTGTTTGTATGTTTGCTGGTATTCGGACGTGTACCTTGTGTGCTGGTGAGTGTGTGGGGTGCTGTGGTGCGTGAGACATTTTTTAGCCTGTATATGAGCAAATAAATTACCACTATGATTATAAGCTTTTAGTCCCCGCGGCGTTCCAGCCGTAATTTATTAGAAACGACAAGCAACTGGAGATATGGGCGGCTATCACAAAGTTTCTAAAATTATAGTATCTAGGCAGGACTGGTCGCTGTGATGCGGCAGTATGTTGTGGTCCACACCTAAATAGAGGGTGACTGTCGGTAGCAGATGTCGAAGTAGTCTCGCGAGGGATGGTAGGATAATTATCCCGGGCTATTTTCCAGGGATCTTGAGTGACTTGCCAAGAGCACGGTGTCTATATTCTCTCCAACCGCCAGAAATCGTGTACTTTTTCTCGTCCTTCCGTGTATTACATTCCTTGAAATAGATAAATGTTTTTTTTGTAGAGAAAATATATTTTGGCAATCGAGTTCGAAAGAGAAATATTGATGAAAGTGTTACACTCACAATGTTAGAGAACGTTGCGAATCATCGAGCGATACATTTACTAGTCAAGGCTTTCTCGATGTCTACGGTTTTAAACCCCCCATGTAAACAATAGAACGCAGTCTTGAATATATATATTTCTCACTTCCGAGGAGGAACCAGTACTTTTTATCGAGTGATAGAGTGTACTTCCGCTCCACTCCTTTGAATGAATAACCCTGTCCAACCTTATAAATAGAAGTTTCTATCACTCTCTTCAGAGTAGAATATTACCAGTATGTGTACCGTATGTAGTTCTGTACTATGCCAACATATCGGTGTTGACCGACCTGCCGCTCATCTAGCATCATCCTCTTTCTGGGCCCACATACCATATCCGAAGCTAGGTCAAATACAGATTCTTTTGGTCAGTAGGAGGAGCGGATTTTGTTTGAGGTGTGCAGTCGCCAACTGCCAGAAAAGAAGGTTGCCAAAACATTTGTCTACGTACATACTCCTTTATGAAAATGCTGCACAACTTAGGCAAGAAAACTATTGGGGTGTACAGCCGGGAACCCGATTTTGCTAAGGCAACACTTGATGGCATTGCAGGGGTCATATCTATTTGTCAATAATGTGAAACAAATTGGACACACGATGATATACCCTTGATAAACACTCACGGCAGTATTTGCATCTAGTACAAACTGAATGACATTTATACTAGAACCTGTATCGATATCGTCTTGACTAATATATAAGTCTTTGAATAGTGAATTACAACAAACACGCGTACTAGCACAGAACTCCGTCGACGATTAATTTGTTTGTCCAAGTATATTTTTGAGATCGAAGTGGGGGAAGCTTGGGATCGCACAAAAAAAAACGGGCTCGATACATGTTAAGCAGTATCTTCCAGAAATTAAGTGCGGCGCGAATCACCTATTCGAATAATATTGCAATCGACACTGAAGTCTTCCGTAAAGGGAGTGTACATACAAATGAAAATGCGTCCTAATGATGCAGAGCATGAACTCAGTATAATCCAATTTATATTCCTAACGTGATAGCACTGTATATGTTATTTGTTTTCTCTTGCCCGTTAACACCAATGCCGAGAAAACTAAAACCCTGTGCAATCGTTGGAACTATGCGTTCTATGAGTCTGATATTTTCGAAGGATTATCGTAAAGAGCAGACTGCTTTTCCATCCACCCGGTATGTGAAGGGCTTCTACTGATCGCGAGTCAGGCATGAGCATTTAATGTGTTTTAGAGTGCTTAATTTATACCCAGATATACTTGACTGTATATCTGGTTAATATATGTATTGTGATACGCCGGGTATCAGTATCTTATTCTTTGTGGAAGTTTGGCAGTAAAAATCGACTTATTTCACACGCGATAGGGATAATATTATTCATCAGTCGGAAGAAGAAGAAAAATACCTGTTGCACACTCGATACAGATGTATTTTGGTACAGAAGTAAATGTGCCAAAAAAATAAATACAGGAATGTGGACTCTGGATGTGACATTCATTCAAATACAATTATTAGCAACTTAAACCGCAATTACTGGTCATTAAGCATTGGCACTATTTTTCCATGTTGACCATACTATTATTATACACGTGCATTCAATGTTTTCGGAACGGGACTTGTGTGGGATATACCTCATCTGAACTAGTGGGATGCACCTAATGCTGTTGTACCGTTTCAAAGAACAGTATTTACCTGGTGACCCATGGCAACATGGTCGATAAAAGCAAATGGAATGAACGCTATTTGATGGTCACGTGCTCTATTATGGGCCCATTATTGGGCGAGTTAGTTTTACACTGGCTAATATCTCTCATTTTGATTCGGCTAATATACACTTGCATTCAGCTTTTTCCGGTAGGACGTATGTGGCATACTGACATATACACACCTGTCCGCAATTGTTGAATGCATCTAATACTGTTGAGCTGTTTCAAATGATAATATCCGACGATCCATATTAGCAAGTTTAAGGAAAGCAAATGAAATGGTCGGCAATTTGATGCTCACGTGCCCACATGTAATTCTAGTGTTGGTCAGGGTAGTTTGTACTTATCAAAGGGAATGCATCAATCAAAATGGTTTATATTTCTTATATATTGGGACAATTTTGATTGACAGTGTTGTCTAACCGAAGGGGACGCAGACACTTGCCGATTCGTTACTTGCTCACCGAAATGTGATATCATTATACTGGGCTAGACAAATTCGAATGTATGTATTATTTCAACTGCAATACATGCACGTTCGATAGCAGTTTATACAAGAGGTTTGCGATATCGGTTTCTTGTTTGAGAAAACATATGGTCCTGGTAGTGTCCGTTTTATTCAGTTACCCCTTGTTTTCATTCTTTATTAGTAGCCAAAGTCTCGCAGAATGTCTTGAAACTTGAAAGTATTTTGCCCGACAATCTCTCCTGCGACACTATATTGTCTACGATCAATCTATTCCCATTTAAAATGATATATCAAAACTACTTCCTACATACATCCGGAGAAAAGCAAAATATGCACAAGTAGATATAGATCTTGTCGTTGAACTTGAAGGTCGAACACATACGTATTCCAATCTAAGTCTGAGAATAGTGCAGAACTGGTTGAAAATTCGTTTACGTCTCTGTGGCCTCACAATTTGCTCTTAATGCGCATACAAACGACTGAGAGGTACTATTATAAACATTAGATATATAAAAAAACAGCCCCAGAGTTGCATATTTACACACACACAGCCCACTCCTAAAACAGCCCCAAAATAAAGATTTAAAACAGAATCAGCGCGAATCGAAGGTTGTAGAGTTTGAGAGAAACTGAAAAGATACGACCAAAAAACAAAAGACCTCTTCACAAGTGCGAATCTTTCAGCTAGGTAAAACGTCCTGGTCTGAAGGACTTGTGTTGAGGCCTTATTTGTGGTTTGTGTTTCTAACCTGTACTCAAATTCTACTTGAGTGTTTTTCTCACACACGGGGGCCCCGATATCATCTACAGGGAATCCCATTATATTCCTGATGACTCTAATATCAGGAATATTGGATCCAGACCCCAAAACTCAGCAATTGATATTCCTGCGGTTTGGGGTTTAGGTTTGGCTTCTTGATAATCAGGTCCCTAGATGCTAAAGCTCTCCAACTTTGTACTTCTGAGCCTGCGTAGGAGTGAAAAGTGACTTCTTACAGTACTAGATTATTTTGTGGTTGGTGCTTTTGTACAGTAAAACCCTTGCCAATTAGTGGGTCAAGATAAAAAACCCGCCAACATTGTCTAATCTTACGTATTACATACTTGAAACTATGCTATGACGGGGGTTCTCGACCTTGTTCATAGGAGTCAGTCTTGACCTATGCTTTCGGTTTAACTTAAACGCATCTCAACGGTAGCTGTACAACTGAGTCTTCGGTCCTTATGCCTCTGGTTCTGGTATGTGATTGGAGCAGGCTTCAAGGTGAGAAAAGTGCGAGTGTCTTTCGGTATCCGTAAAACTCGATTATGTTCCCCGCCTAGTGCGCTTCCTGTTGCTTGCTGATCGTTCGCCAGCACTTGTTTTTGTTAACTTCGTCGGCTTGGATTGCCCTCGCTTGCGTGGTGTTTTGTCGGTAAAGTACAAGAACATTAAGATCTGTGATGTCTGTTTCATGTGTCCAGATCCACTCCCCACCTGTCCATTGTAATATGAATACATCGCCTCTGTTGGATGGCAGATGGTCTAATATAGAGGAAAACTGTGTTTCCTCAGCTGATTGTACTTGGCTATTGGATGTAAGTTCTTCCTGAGCATTGGCTTTTTTTTCACGAGTCCAATTAGTTTATCACTGACCGAGTTAGGATATTCCGGGGCTTCAGTCCCATCAAGGTTACAAACAAAATACCCGTTGCCCTCCTTGCTTATTATTTTGTATGGTCCGCCA